TTATATCATTCATACATTATATTCTATCATAAGCATGCATTCACATGTTAGTATAAATTATCATATTAATTCCATCCTATGCCTAGTTGATCATGTCCTTCATGTCATTCAAATATATATGTTATGATTAAATATCATTTCTTAGGATATTATTATTACATGTTTCCATTTATCATTTATTATGAATACCATGTTAAATGATATTCATGCATACAACATATATCCACAATGTTATTTCAAGCATGTTAAGTATGATATATTAGTCTTGCATTCATTTAAGCATGATTATCACATATACATCAAAGGAAGCATAATTATCATTCATTTTATCAGCTCCTATGCATTCATTTTAGCACTTAGGCTTTATGCATTAGTTCATACATATTATAAGATGATATATTTAACTCATGGGCTTCAATCATAACTCACATTACCATATTCATGCATGGAAACAAGGTATTTAGCTCATATCAGCTCAATGCCATGGACTTACCTTGTTTGCTTGCACATGTAGGTACATTGGATCATGGCACATGTTGGGGTAGCTTGGTGGATTATTTGGACATCAAATGCAACTCATAAACAGCTCACAAGGAACATGGCAGCTCATGGAACACTAAGGAAAGCTCAATTCAGTTGGAGGAGCTCAAGGCTAGCTAAACTCAGCTAGTTGGACTATTTGGAGCTGAGTTGTCAAAAATGATATCAATGGTAGCTGAATGTAGCTGAACATGCTATTATGGAGCTCACAAGGACTCGACTAGGAAGCTTGTTCACAAAGAGCGCCATGCTTGCTAAGCTAGCTCCACATTCAAGCTAGCTAGGAGGAGGCACATGCACGTCCAAGATGGAGCACATGACCAGCCATCATCCCATGCACAAGGCTGCACCACAAGGTTCCCTAGATCACCCATGTGCATTCAAGTAGGCTGCCATGTGCATCATTCAAGCATGTGCACTCCATGTGACATCAAATTGGCGCCAAAACACCAAGGGATGCTTCCTATTCGGCCAAAGACTCTTTCCTCTTCATTTTGGTGCCCAAATAACTTCCAAAAGCATTCAAATCATCCTTAGGGCTGAACCAACACATAACCAGTCGGCCAAGAGCATGTATTTTCATTAAAGTCTTGTTTTTTCATTAAAAATCATGTCATTTTTAGAAAGGTACAAGGGCTGGCCGAACCAACATGTACCTATTCGGCGAAGTCCCTTCAAAAACTATAAATAGGCTTTCCTATTTCATTTTTAATCAGACCTTTTGATTAATATAAGTGAGATTATTCTCTCCCTTAAGTCCTGGTGACTTTTATCGACTTATCAAGTATTTTATACTTGTGGCGTCAATCCCTTTCTTTTCACCTTGATACTTCTCGATCCTAGTTCATATAACTAGTGCGTCAAAGTACTTAATACCACCCCTTGAAGAAGCAATATAAAGTCTAGGTCTTTGCTCTCTATAGCATTGGTTCTTCTTTGAGTCTTCTTTAAGATACTATCCTCACAACCATCCCTTTGTTTCATAAGCCATAACCATAGCCTTATCAACCATCTTCCGCTTCCATCTCTCATTTTAAACAGCTCACCTATTCACCATACGTCTACCACCCTTAACCCTCTCTTTTTTGAGTCATTCACTTGTTCAGGTTGTTTGCTTCCTTCCTAGATCCACAATCAATTTGTTAAGGTACAAATGCCTTACATCAAAAAGTAACAACATTTTTTCTTTCAGTTTTCCTTTTAATCTAATGAAGCCTTGCCTTGGTTGGTTGGTGCCAGCCATGATATTCGAGCATCGTTGACAGGCATTAATGGTTTCATCATGAATGATTTAGGTCGTATTTAAAGCAAATGAGTCATTGTGCACAAGATCTATTTGGTAACTTGTTGCCTTTTGCTAGCAAAACTTTACTTTTTAGTATTCGAGTCTAATTAGCTGCATATATATAATTTACAGGGTTGCTTAATTATATACTCGATGCCAGCAAAATCAAAGCTGGCAAGATGAATTTGGAAGAACAAGAGTTCAACTTGGCTGAACTGGTTGAACATGTAGTTAATCGGCATCATCCTGTGGGTATGAACAAGGGTGTGGATGTTGTTTTGGACCCATGTGATGGATCCATTATTAAGCTCACACGAGTTAAAGGTGACAGGGAAACTCATGCAGATATTAAGTAATGTGCTAAGCAATGCTGTTAAGTTTACTGCTGAAGGGCATGTATGCCTTAGAGCTTGGGATCAGAAAGCTTGATTTCGAAACCTAAACACTTTCTTCTAGCCTGAACAGTTTTCACAAGTATTTGTCCCGCTTGTTTAACGACAAGAACGGAACCAATGGTGACTTCAAAGCAATAAGTGCAGTTATACAAAATCCCGATTCCATGCAGATCATGTTCAAGGTCGATGATACAGGTAAAGGGATTCCCAAAGAGAAGCAAAAATCTGTTTTCGAAAACTACGTGCAGGTTAAAGAAACAGCAACTGGACAAGTAGGCACTGGCTTAGGCCTTGGAATTGTTCAATCTTTGGTAAGTCACAAATATTTGCAGAACGTCAGGTTTCTACACGTATGCATGTGCGTACGTATTTAGTACATTTCATAGCCTCAAGCCCGTTGAATTTGCTGGAAACCACTTTGATTAAAGGTTCGGAGTCTGATAAATTCTTGCAAGCTGTCCTAAAACACAAGCTGACCAAAATTTGAAACTCTGTAGCTGTCTCGGAAAAACGATTGTTAAGAAATATATTTTCCATCTTTGAAACCTCAATGTTATTCTTTTCACAAAACAAAGAAACTTCTTCAAGTAAAGATTGCCATCACACATCTCTCATCATTCACAATTGTTGTTAGGACACACTAACTAATTGCATAACATTCACAATATCTTGATCACTCCGTTGCAATGCTATAGATAATTTACTAGTAACCCCTAATATGTTTTCATCAAGTGCAAATTAAACACAAACTCAAAAGACTGTAAAAAAACTCAACAACATACAAGCTTCAGCACTTTGCTCTGAGTGTGCTCCATCTTCCTCAATAATTTCAAGCACACCCATCACAGAAGAAAACATAGTAATCAAGCTAACAACAGTTTTATAATGTGAACCCCAACAAGTATCTCCAGTTCTCTTTATAACATTTTCTTGATTTAATCTGCGGCCACTGAAGATTTCACCATTTTGTAATGCTTCTCTTACCTTAATCATTTGATTAGATTGAAGAAGTTTTTATCTTACATGAAGCATCAACCACATTAACCATACTAGCAACCAAATTAAATAGAAAGCCAACCTCAACTTGTTTTTTTAACAACAAGAAGTGCTAACTGAAGCTAATGTGCAAAACAATGGACATAAAAACACACTCGTTACCTCTTAGAATCAAACTTTTAAGCCTGTTAAATTCTCTTTACATATTACTTGCCCTGTCAAAACCTTGTCCTCTTATTATTGAAAAACATAGTCTATGAGTTGCAAACACATCTTCAAGAGCATTTATAAGTGAAGTAGCAACAATATTAGAAACATGAACAATACACATAAATCGTTCGACAACTCTTCCAAGATCACTAATAATTACACAAGTAGTCTCACTAGCAACTGCACTAACAATATCGTTTTGTATAGTCGGTGCTATTAGTTTAAGATTGTCACGAGCATTTTTAAAAACATTGTTAACAGTTTCATTATGAGTAACAAGAAACTGCAAAAGCTCAAGAAAGTTACCTTAATTACAAGAATCTTGAGACTCATCAAGTCCACGAAAAGCCAATCCTTGTCGCAAAAAGAATTGAAAGCAATCAATTGTAGTTGTAAGATGAGTTTAATATTCTTGTTTGGCTTGGATTAGATTGCTTTATAATGACAACTTCAACATATTGTTTCTGGAGCTTTACATTTTTCAAAGCTACATTATGAGCACTATTAGGACCTCCAACATGAAGTTGTAATATGTTCTTATCTTTCCAATTCTTAAATCCATCAACCAATAAATGTATCACGTCCTCCTTGTTCTCCCCTAGGTCCAGGTCTTATAAGGTAACAATGTAAATAAAAATGCTGCATCATTGGATACACTATATTCTAACCAACTTTTATGTTCTTCGAACCATGTAGGGTCGAAACTTCACAATTTATCATTATAATTCGGGCTAGGGAATGGATTTTTAAACCCAAAAAATTTATGTTTATAATGGGCGTTTTTAGTTGTCTTTTGTGCATAAAAAAGTCCATGATGGGCACACATATAAAAAATGAATATTTAATAAATTAAATTTTATATTTTAGAGTGGACACGTGCTCACCTCGAAGGTCATATAGCTCCGCCAATAATAAATTATATGACTTGCAGACACCGGAAAATATGCATTTGGAAACAAGGATAGAATTTTTTATTAATCATGTTTAATATTAGGAGATCCATTACTGAAATCATGAAAAACAGGAGACAAAAACCAAATGCACACTACTCATGAAGAATACCCAAGAGATTGACACAAGAAATCAGTCCCTTCACATATTGCTCGGTAGTTTCAAAATGCCAGGCAGGCATGTGAGTAAAATGGTTTAATGATTTGTATTCCATGAAGCTTTGAGTTACAACTTGTAATAGGAAATCTAATTAAGATGCTTACTTGACGAAGTCTTGAGCAAGTTTAATTACTTGCCCTTCCGAGTTAGAAAATTTTACTCGGTAAGAGCTGATAGCCTCCGCTAACCCACTCACAGAACGCTATTCTTAGATATATAGTTGGAAACAAGTCCTCATTAGTCTATCTAGATGGTAGTTTTACTCCCCAGGCCTCCTTTACATTTTAGGGGATGCCGAAGAAGACAAATCCAACAAGCCATATAGAGAGTTTTTTTAAGGGCTAGTTCATTTCCTCATTAGCTGTAATAATATGAATGACTTTTACCTGTCTAGGATCATTAGATTCAATGGACACATTCTCAATATCATCTGTTTTAGGCTGAAGGTCTCCAAGAAATTGCTAAACTTTTCAAGCAGTTTTACCTGTAAAGTGTAAACTATCCACCTGTCCAAATACAGATAATCCTGGTTATGCATTAGAATATATGTCACTCAAACAGATATATGAAGATGTGTCAAAAACGTTTTACAATGTTATTGAAACTTGCAAGCCAAATATATTTCCCGCACGTTTTGAAGGTTTATAGTAATAGAAGTTCAAATGTTTTAACAAGACGTGAGAGGGAAATTATTTACATCCATTTGCTGATGCCTTTCATGTGGAGTATAGCCATGCATGGTAGTTTAGTTTTTAAGCTCCATTTTAACTTCCACAGAACCAGCTAGATATTCAATCTGAAAGTTGGAGTATAAACTGGAAAATCCAACTGCTTCAAAAGAACGGCTGCTTGAGCTCTAGCTTGAATGGATTCAGAAGCTGAGAACAGCTTTCCCTGAGAAGTTAATTTTGCAGAGAAAACATTAAAAACTTCCTTTTTTCTTCAATAATCACCATACATGCATAAGGCAAGACTAGGCATACCTGCAAGTTTTTTTTTACTATTCTAGACTTCTAGTAATTGCTTCATCAGAAGCTAGCTTATAGTCCTGGAATGATGAATTTCCATATGCCTGATAAGAAAAACAATGATGTGTAAAACATTAGAGGAAGTAAGGTGATTTCGTTGTTCGTTCAAAATATTCCAACGAGATATCACTGGAAGGGGCTGAGACAAGTGTTCGGTAGACACGGTGCAGTAGTGGACTCATACATTGCCAGAAGATTGGATAGGACAGGTAAACGATTTGGTTTTGTAAGATTTGCAAATAAGGCGGATGCAGATAGAGCAAGTGAAAGGCTGGATGGCTTTAGTCTGAATGGTTTCCGATTAGCAGTAAAAGAAGCAAAATTAAGAGAGAGACATCTCCATTGGAGAAAGAAACAACGAATATCCTCAGCAGCTAGATCAGAACGGAAACCAGAAATGCAAACAGGCTATGAAGGAAAGAGCTGCAGCTTCAAATGACAAACGCACTGAGGCGCAATCTCTTAACGTGGAATCCGAGGAAGATAAAAGGAAGCTGGTTACTGTTCAGGGTCATGTTGAGGAGGAAGCATTGGAGAAACTTAACATGTGCCTGGTAGGTACAATGGCGTCAGTATGTAGTTCTCGTCAAGTGGAAGAAAGATTACATAATTGGAATTTGGGAGAGATAGAAGTCAAGTTTATGGGAAGTCGAAACTTATTACAACAAATTGAAGATCAAGAAATTGTTTAAACTATTAGAGGACCACAAATGGTCTTACTTAAAGGAGGTCTTTTCTGCGATCGAACCTTGTGTTGGAAATGAAACACTCACACAAACAATTTTTATTGAAACTCAAACAACTATTACAAGAGCACTCTCACTCAAAAACAAGAACTACAACTCACTCTTATAAGACTTTGTTTTTTCACTTACTTAGAAGCTCTTAATTTTTCTGATGTTTAAACTAAAATGGGGAGGGGTATTTATACTACTTAAGAACAATCCTACACCACACAAATAAAATAATTTAAACCATTAAAAATAGACAAATACTTAACTCTCACCTAACTCTTCACCTAACTAAATTGATGTAAAAAATGACATATATTTAGTTTGGGTTTAGGTTTAGGCTCCCATAATGGATCAAGTTTATGATCCAACACTCCCCTTAAACTTGATCTTGTGACTCCTAGTAAGTTCCTTAATCTTATGAAGTCTTCGCTGGTCAGTGGTTTGGTAAAAATATCGGTAACTTGATCTTGTGACTTCACGTATTCAACTTCCACATCATTTCTTGCAACACACTCCCTTATATAGTGGTAGCGAATATCGATGTGCTTGCTTCGATCATGGAATACTGGATTCTTTGCTAAGGCTATGGCTGACTTGTTGTCGACACAAACTTTGGTAGGCTCTTCTTGTATCAAACCTCTCTTCTTCAATAGATTTCTAAGCCAAATTACATGACAAAAGCATGAGGTAACAATAACATATTCCACTTCACAAGTGGACAATGTGACAATCGGTTGTTTCTTGACATCCATGTGAAAGCAATATCTCCCATGAAAAATACGAATCCAGTAGTACTCCTTCGATTATCTATGTCTCCACCCCAATCACTATCGCTGTAGCCAACAAGCTTGTAATCATTAGAAACTGAATAGAACAAGCCAAAGTCAATTGTACCTTTCAGATAGCGAAGAATTCTCTTTGCAGTTTTAAAATGGGTAGTTGTTGGAGATTCCATGTAGCGACTAACCAATCCAACTACATGAAGAATATCGGGCCTTGTGCAAGTTAGATAGCGTAGACTTCCCACCAAACTTTTGAAGAATGTTGGATCTACACTTTCTCCTTCTTCATGTTTGGACATCTTGATCCGTATTCTGTCGGTGTGATTATTGGCTTACAGTTCTCCATCTTGAACTTCTTCGGAATCTCCTTTGCATAGCTTTCCTGTGAAATGAAAATTTCATCCTTTTGTTGCTTAACTTCAATGACAAGGTAGTATGCCATGAGCCCCATGTCTGTCATCTCAAATTCTTTCATCATCACATCCTTGAATTCATTAAACATGCTTGGGTTACTTCCGATGAAGATCAAATCGTCCACATAGAGACACACGATCATAATATCTCCATCTTTGATTTTGATATATAGAATGTGCTCGTAGGGACATTTGTTGAAGCCATTCTCTTGGAAATACTTGTCGATTCGGTTATTCCATTCCCTTGGTGCTTGTTTTAGCCCGTAAAGAGTCTTCTTCAACTTCAACACCTTGTCTTCGTACCCTTTTACTTCGTAGCCTGATGCTTGTTTAATGTAAACTTCCTCTTCAAGAACTCCATTTAGGAAGACAGACTTTACATCCATTTGTTGTATCTTCCACTTGTTTTGAGCTGCCAAAGAAATTATTAGTCTGGTAGTCTCCAATCGAGCAACATGAGCAACACTACTAGAAAAACCCCCTTTAATGACGCACAATGCGCATCATCTATGGGTGCAGATGACACACAAGTTCATGTCATTTAAGCCACCAAAATAAATATCAGATGACGCGTAATTGTGCGTCATAAATCTATGACGCGCATTTATGACACGCATTTATGACGCGCATTTATGACGCTCATTGCGCGTCATTGAAGCCCCCGTCATAAATGAAGATGCCACACATTTGTGTGTCATAAATTTATGACACGCATTTATGACTTACATTGCATGTCATTGAAGCCCCCGTCATAAATGAAGATGACACACATTCGTGTTTCGTGATTGTATTTCGTAAATTATATATATATATTGTTGACAAATAATCAAACTAAATCACATTTAATGCTCATAATACTAAATATATATATATATATATATCATATTATATATAAGCAATCCATTTGCATACAATATATTAACATTAAGTTATCAAAAATATTATAATCATATGTCGATACAAAATATCACGGCATAATAAATTTTGCCACACAAGATACCCATTCTTTGCGAATATCATCAATATCATCATCCGTGTATTCTTCCTTCCCATCGCCAACCTAAGTAAAAAATATGAAATAAGTATATAATTTATACTTATTTAAAGTGAAGTATATAACTATCAAAGAGTTAGCAAGCAATTGAATTATACACAGATGTCACTGTAATATGCTGAGTTAGCAAGCAAATGTGTGATTGTTAGAATAACATGCTAACTTTTTGAATTATACAGGTCACTTTTCAACTTAATCTCAAATTGGCCCAAGTTCTAAAGACCTTGCGAATGAATTCACAAGTTACAGGCGAATGAATTCACAAGTTACAGACATGGATCTATCCTTGTTTTCAATATTATGCACTAAACACTTCATTGAAATCAGCCCAAGTTCTAAGCTCTAACCTTGTTTTCAATTTTATGCTCTAAACAACCCTCTCCTCAATAATAAAACACATGAAAATATTCTGAACATGCTGCTAGCGAATCAATAATGAAAACATAAACTCTTTTAGTAGATATAGAGCACCATCAAATCCAATATTATTGAGTACGACAATAATTCACTTCATTTTTTAGCTAGTTGGTATCAATATTTAAAAACATTGCCTGACACCAACAATAACTTGTAAGATTCGCTACTACTTAACATTTGAATCATATATTTCATAATCACTTTCAACTCAAAACTAAGAAACCATGAAATATATAGGGAATGCATTTGTGACCTTAGCTTGACACATTTTAATCAGCATAATCGGGAAACAAGAGACAAAATCAAGGAAATAGACATTTTCCTGCATTCCACTTTTAAATCACTCCCAGAAAAGCACATGAGTGTAAAAGCACGGTGATTTTCTATTTTAGCCATCTCCTTGCCCCTTTATCTTTACATTCTTCCAGTATTCAACACTCTTGACCAAGAAAGTTTCTAAAGTTCAATATAAAATGCAAAGAATTTGGCACTTTTATTTGTTTGTACCAATAAATAGATGTCGTTCTTACATCTTTCAATAAACATTAGCTTCATTATTTGTGAAATCTTTTATGGATAAAACTAGCAAAGATCATCAAAACATATTGTCCACGTTCATCACAACAGTCCAAGAAATGAAGAAAGATATCCTCAACCCTATACAGGGCATGATAATTTTTTTATCACAAGATGCATTTAGAACTCGAAAACACAAGAATATGGAAATAAGAACACAAATAACATTATTATCTATTAGAGACTCTTCATCACCTTCCCTTGCTAGCAAAACTAGTAAATTGACCTGTAGGAGAAAACATCATAAGTCCAACATCGGTATCACTTAACATAGATAAGTCACAACCCTCCTGAGAATGATATCCCTGCGTTTTATATAAGTCATATGATGAGACCAAGAATTACCATTTTTCTTCTTCGTGTGAACTATGATCAAAGAAATTAGATAAGAAAATGAAGAAAGAAGAAAATTGTTGTAGACTATAAAGAGAAATGGAGTTCATATAAGAAGGGAAGAATATGAATTAAATTTTTGGGGCTATGCAAGAGGGTAAAATACGCATGGTAATATGACAACTGTAGAAATAGTCCCTTGATTATAATCACTAAGGGTGCATTTGGTTCACGGAATAAAGATTACCAGTGGGAATAAAAGATTACCAGGAAATAGGATTACTGTGAATGTTGTATTGTGTGATTGGTTGGTTTAGCAGGAATGTAAGATTATCGTGTTTGATTAAAGGAATAAATATTATTTGAATGTATATTTGACCAAATTGTCCTTATTATATATTTGTTTTTTTTATCAAATTGAAAAATATTTATATATTCTCTTTAAAAAAATTAAATTCATAAAATTTATATAATTTTATTTTACAAAATTGAAAATATAAAAAAGTTTAATGAAATGGTAAAATTTTATTTTAACCCCTGAACTTCATATAAAATTTTAATTATAGACTTTATTTTGTAAATCAAAAATAGTTTAAGGATATATTTATAATTTAACCTTCATATAATTTTTATTATTCAATGACAAAATAAGGATATTTTTGAAGAAAAAAAATTTAAGGGCATTTTAGTCAAAAA